ATCTTAGTTTCTCTGATATTATCTGGGTCCCCTAAATTGATTGCTTCCGTATCACTCAGGTTAGGCTTGGGTTTCTCTTCAAAATGGCTTAATTCTTTACTAATCTCTTCAAAGGCCTCATCATCATCATATTCTGATTCATCATCACACTCTATTTCTTGAATTATTATTTCAGAATTAGATTGGCTTTTACGACTGGGCCGAAGATTCCTCATGCATGTCATGTCATTGAAACCAGCATAAAAAGAACTGTACAAGGAAGAAAAGAAAAACAAACATAAAACTATCAGGAAGGATGAAAAGGGGAAATTGCATTTCATTGAAATCAAAAGATAACAAGGTTTATACATCCAAAAAGACGGAACATAGAATCTGAATTACAACCCTGGAATAATCCAGATAAACTGAAAGAAAATCAAAGCAAACTACCAAAACCCCTTCCGGGTAGGGAGAGGAGTAGCTTCCCAATTGTTAATCTTTGCACTAGGCCCAACAAATTGCACATCCGCCTTGCTCAAACCATCTCCAACTTCCACCATGTTCACATCGTCGAACAACTTCTCGAACCTTTCGATCAACTCTTCATCAAGACCAACCACAGAACTGGGAACATTTGTTACTGGGCGCTCCTTGGCGCCAGGCTTGACAAACGATCTGGAGAGACGTGGGACAGTCTTTGGGAGGACCCATGCCCTCTGTTTTAACTGTCTGGCTCTTTTTACGTCTGCGGCTGTGGGCTTAAATCCAAGACCAAATGTACCCAAGTTTTTAGGAAGAGACACCGGCTGTATGATACCCTGAAGAGATGCACCCAAACCCTTACCAGGTACAAAACCATTTTTCAACATTTCAAAAGCCACCATGACTGATGCGGCGGTTACCTTCGGAATTGAAACGCATTTCCCTTCTGGAATTTTCTTGACTGACACTGTGTCAAAAACCTGGTAGACCCAAGGTCCCTTGTCATCTTCAACCTCAATGAACGGAACAATGGCATCACTGGGAGCACACAGATTATCCTCGTCGTGCACAACGATTTCCTGTCTATCCCATTCAAACTTGACCATCTGGTGCAGAGTAGACGGGACTGCTTTGGCAGCATGAATCCAGGGTCGACCCAACAGCAGATTGTGGGAAACAGCTACATCCAGCACCTGGAACTCCATGGTAAATTCAACTGGAACTATTGTCAGCTCAAGCACTATATCACCGACTGAATCTTTCCCTCCACCGTCAAATCCCCGCATGCAGATATTGTTCTTGTGAATTCTTTCATCATCCACCTTCAACTTGTTTAGAGTAGAGAGAGGGCAAATGTTCGCACTGGAACCATTGTCGACCAATACCCGAGTAACCACGGAATCATCGCATTTCACCGTAAGATAGAGGGCTCTATTGTGCTCAATACCCTCCACGGGCAACTCATCATCAGAAAAAGTGACTCTGTTTACCTCAAATATCTTGTTGGCTATCTTTTCCAAATGGTTTACTGAGATTTTGTCGGGAACGTGAGCCTCATTCAGGATTTTCATCAAGGCCCGTCGATGCTCGTCCGAATGGATTAACAATGACAACTGTGAAATTTGAGCAGGCATCTTCCTCAATTGCTCCACAATGGAATAGTCTTGAACCTTTATCTTTCTCAAAAACTCTTCTGCCTCTTCTTCGGTCACAGCTTTCTTCACTAGCACTAGGTTATCATTGGAGGTTTTAGCTTTTCTTAACTCTTCGGGGTCAAAGCATCTCCCCGGCCGAGTTAATCCATGGGTCTCACAGACTTCTTCTTTAACTTTTTTTCCCTTGCAAGTCACTGTCACCCGTTCATAATTCCACAGGATAGCCTTGTTGTTGACTATCGGTAATTGGATTACAGGCTTGATAATGATAGGATCTGTGCGGGCACCCTCCACGATCACGACAGGCATGTTTGCCACTCCCGGCACAACCATTTTTGCCCTTTCTTGTTTCGCTACAACATCACTTGAGGACCCTTTCTTGACTATCGCAGATGGTTCACTGTTTGTCCCGCTCAACCTGATCACTGATTTCTCACTCGTTTACATTTCAATCGGCCTGACCTTACTGGACCGAATCATCATGACGGTCTGTGAAGGCTTCTTAGGCTCCCCTCCTTTATGAACTATCTCAATCATATTTGTCTCCTGATGGGTCGGCAACAGGTTCTGGTTGATATTTGGCGCTTCGGAGCTTGGACTTCAATCCGATTTGCATCAATGAGCTCCTGGATAGCATTCTTCAAATGCCAGCATTTTTCTGTGTCATGCCCCGGAGCACCAGAAGAAAATTCACAGCTTACAGAATAATCAAGATTTTTCGGAGAGGATTTGGCAATTTTGACTCGATCGGCCTCAGCATGTCCAATTGTCTTAGCCTGTGGAACAAACTAGTATAGGATTCTCCCAATGGAGTGAAGGTTTTCTTCCTCTGCAACCTCTCGTTCTTAAATGCTTGATTGGGCTGGAAATCTGGTCTAGGAGGGTTTTGGTAGGCTCGTGGGGGCGGGTAGGTGTTTTGCGGGGCTGGCGCACGCCATTGTGCGTGGGCAGGGGTTAGTTGTATGTTTGGGCGTGGTGGACAGAAAAATGGGGGTCTGGTGGTGGGTAGTAGTGTTGGGGTGGATTATACGGGGTATGGGGGTAGGTTTGGTGGTGGGGTCGAGGCTGATTATAGTGGTGAGGTGAGCCCCTGGGTCCGAACCAAGCTCCTGAATCAATCGTTGCCACGTCCTCTTTCTTCTTCTTTCCAATTACTCCCCCAGTTCCACTTTGAATGGCTTGGGTGGTTGCCTTAATAGCCGAATAGCTCATGATTTTGTTTGACTTAAGTCCTTCTTCTACCATACCGGCCATCTTCACCACTTCATTAAAGGACTTGCCTATAGCTGATACCAGATAACCGTAATAAGTAGGTTCTAAGGCCTGTAGAAAATAATCCACCATTTCACTCTCTTTCATTGGAGGGTCAACCCTTGTTGCCTGTTCTCTCCATCGAAAACCATACTCCCTGAAGCATTCATTGTGCTTTTTCTCAATCTTTGTCAAAGACAAACGATCTGGAATAATCTCGAGATTGTACTGGAAGTGACAAGCGAAGGCTTGGGCTAGATCATCCCATGTATACCATCTTCTGTGATCCTGCCGAGTGTACCACTCCAGCGCCGAACCACTCAGACTCTGACTGAAATACGCCATTAGCAACTCGTCCTTCCCGCCAGCTCCCCTCATTTTGCTACAAAAACCTCTCAAGTGTGCCATCGGGTCTCCGTGCCCATCATACAAATCAAACTTGGGCATCTTAAACCCTGCCGGCAATTGAACATCTGGAAATAAACATAGATCTTTATAAGCCACACTTACCTGACCTCCCAACCCCTACATGTTTCTGAATGACTGTTCCAGGCTTTTAACTTTCCTGAACATCTCCTCATGTTCGGGATTCTTAGATGGTTTCTCAGTTTCCACAGGGAGATCAAAACGAGGAGTGAAGGAATAGGTATCTGGAGCTTTGAAAGTGGGCTCCGGGGGGTAATATTGGTTATCGTGGGCTTGGAATAAGGGCCCGCTGGAGGATCTGTGGAGTGTAGCGGGTGGGGGTGCCACGAAGACAGGAGTGGCTGGTGGAGGAGGGTATGGAACTTGTTTGGGTGGTGGAGCTGGTGGTGTTTGGGAGGTGGTGCTCTGGTAGTGGTGGTAAATGGGAAAGCCCCGGCACGAATCGGTAGCAGGAGGTTCTTGAGACTGAGCCAATGGCGGGACGAAGGCAGGGTTGGCGGGGTAAAGTGGTGGTGGGTGCTTTTTTACCCATGCTTGATACATCACGGACATCTGTTGTCTCAACTTATACATCTCTTCTTTCAAATTAACATCCGACTCTTCCACCTCTCTCGAAGGATTGATAACACTCGCATCAAGTTCCTGGTTGGCCATGACCGACTTGTTTTTGGACCGGGTGTTGTATGGGTGAGTTGCCTGAATGCCGCACAAACTAACCACCTGCCTGTTACTTGATGACAACAACAAGCTTGTTAGCAATCATGGTTTAACAGACAGGAAACCGCACATTTGGGGAACGTAATGCACCTAAGCAGTTAACCGTTTCTATCATGCATTTGATCGGTTGCTTGCTTCATCCCGCCTTTCCCCTAATTTCCATTTGCAACTTCTCTTTTTCTCTTTTTTTTTTCTTTCTTTTACCTTCTTTTTCTCTCTCTTTTTTTCTTTTCAATCCTGCCTTTCTTTGCTTGATTTCTCGTTGTTCTTTATTCTCTCATTTCTCTCTTTTGTCTTGCCATTGCTTCCTTCTCACAGCTTCTTATTTTTCTCTCTCTTTTTCTTTTCTTTTTTATCTCTTGTTTTTCCTCTTTTCTTCTTCTCTTTTTTTTTCAATTTTCTTTTATGATCGAATCCTATGGAGATTGTCTACGTATCATGACCCTGCATGAATTAGACCAAGCGTAGTTCTGGGGGATAAGTGCAAAATAAATAATAAAACATTTTGGGATTTTCAAGTCTTTCATAAAACGAAAATGTTTTGATTACAACGACTCAATCTATCGAATTTTAACCATAAAAACTAACAGACTTGAAAAGAGAAACTAACAGACTCCGACAGAAAGATGAAAACACAGACTCAAAACAGACTCTAACAGAAAGATGAAAATACAGACTCGAAAACAGACTAACAGACTCCAATGAAAATCATGAATACATCAATGCCTCAACTGCTCCTGGGGTCCGCGGGACATCATTCGGTCTCGCCACGAGCTTATGCGCCAAATCCCCTTGGAGATGATAGAGATCTTCCATTATCTTGCGGACAAAGGTGATCACAGTGGCGAAGAACATGGATCTGGTCATGTCCTCACACTTACTGCATTTCATTGTGATGTAGTCGGCGATCCTTCTGACCCTTTCTCTTATGACACCCTTCTCTTGCAACAAACGCCCAATCTGCTGGGCCCTAGCTTCCAAAGTTTGGTCAGCTACATGATTCTGTTCTTGAATTTGTTGCAAATCTCTTTCTAACTATGCCATTGCTGCATAATAGTGTTCTCTTTATGCTTTAAAGTCTTTTGCCTGCATAATAATTTTGTTCTCAAGGACGGTGACCCTTTTCTTCAACCCCACAACCTCATTGTCATATTTCTCTTTTAATTGTTTAACCAAGCGCACTCGTTCCTCCGCAATCTTAGCCAATTTTGTTCGAGCCCTTGCTAGTTCACCCTCGGCCTTATTCAAATCAAAACCATACTCACTCACCTTCTGCCTAAGGTTATCTATAAGCTTTCCATCTTTTGCACTTCTGGTGGGGTTTTCGGCTGCTATTTTCATTTCCCGAATCTGGGCTCGAAGGGCCTCATTTTCTTTGGCTAACTTTTCCTTTTCACCCTCATCCGCGCCGGCTTGCAACCCATTCTCAAATTGAAGATCCTTGACTTGCTTTTCCAAGTTGCTTATGGTAGCCCTATACTCATTTTCTTTGGCCTACAAATCCCATTGCACCTGTGCTCCATCGGTGAATTGTTGGACATGGGGCCTCTTTGCGGGCCGTTCGGGATCTTGATGGACTCGGGATCTTTTACCGTACCAAGCAGTGTAGCTAGGCTCCAACTCGCCTCTGGATAGATCTCGTACCTGAGTCTTGGGCTCTAAGAACCTGCACTGATGCCAAATCCGTCGCACCCTTTCTTCTGGAAAAGCAGCTTTTGGTTCCAACTCAATGACCTGCCGACTCAAATCCTCATCATGTGGGATGGTCTGGTATCTGCCTAACTGATGTAGAACTCTATGCGGGGCATAAGGCTGGATTCTCCAAAGGCCCATCAGTAGAAGAAACACACCTTGGCCGACATATAAATGACTTCACCGAGCGAGAGCCACCCGAATGTCCATTCAATCTTGTTTGCAGTCAAGGAGCTCAAGTGCACATACCATGCTTCCGTGCCGTCCGGGGAACTCGCAACCCTCCACCCGTTGTTCATGTTTTTCGATGCATTCAAGACCGGTCGTGCCACCGTTCATATACCCTGGGCGGTGGCAGAGGTGCTCTTCCATCCAAAGTTGTAAAAGCATATTGCACCCTTCAAAAAACCTTCCCCCTTCTCGGCAGAGAGTCAAAGCTCGGTAAATTTCTGCCAAGATCAGCGGCACAATGGTCCCATTTGCCTTTTTCATCATAAAGTCAGCTATCCCCACGGGCCCCAACTCTATGTTCCCATCTTTTCTGGGGCAAATCACAACACCCAGGAATGCCACTAGAAAAGCTAACCCTCTCCGAGCTTCCCACTTATCTTTGTTTCCTGAGCGAGTAAGATCGGTATCTGGCGTCTCGAAGCCACGGGGATTCCCGTAACGTCGGTACAGAAAGTAGAAGGGACAAAATCCTTTGGCCAAATTTCCATCTTGAATTTCCCGACAGATGCTTAACAGGTCCAAAAATTTGTGGGGAGTCACTGTTCTAGGTGCCACCGGGTATTGATTTCTAAGCTTCCCATTAAAACCAGCGTAGCCTGCTATCTCTTCAAGCGTAGCTCAAAATCAGCAAAGTGGAATACATAATGTGCTGGGTCCCACAAGGGTATCAGGGCCTCAATTACATCCTTCCTCGGCTTAATCTTCAAGAGCCCGACAAGTCCACCCAACACTTTTATCACAATTTTTCTGCTGACCTCTCCCAAATCATGCCACCACATATGTAGTTCCAAGGGGATCTCGCGGACTGTAAAAGGTTCATTTTCGATTGTGCTCATCCTGCACATTTATTTAAGGTGATTGATTAAAAGACTGTGATTTATTTTGATTCCAGAGAAAAACACTCATTTTCCCCAAAATTTAAAACAAAACATTCTTTTGAATACAGCCCATTAGCACTCCAAGATAAAAAACAATTTTGGGATTGTTTTTGTTAATCAACCAAAATTTGGAAAAATGACCCTAAGTGGCTATTCTTGCGGAAACGGCCTTCCGGCACCTTTTGGGGCATTTTTGGCTATTTGGACAAGAATCGCGCCACCTAATTACTCATGATAAAGCAACGACACTTCATGCACATTTTTTGGTTTTTCTTTTTTTTTGCAAAAGCAGTTGGACCCGATGTGGGTTGCCTACGTATCCCACATCCGGTGAGAATCAAACTTGCGTAGTTCGGCCAGATTTGACGAAAATAAAAACCAACTATTTTTTTTTTAGAAAAATAGATAATTTTTTTTTCAGAATTTCGGCAGAGTTTCAGTATATTTTTGGGAGACTGATTTTTTCAAAAACAAGTAATTATCTCTCTTAGCCCTCACATTGACTTTTCTTTTCCAACTCTCCTCTAATTATTCATAAGCCGGTCAACATGCAAATCCGAAGCAAATAAATGCACAAGGAGCAAGTAGGATGCATCAGGATGGTCTTTTAATTTTGGGTACACCTGTCCTAGACAGACCCAACCCCTGTGTTGAGTCTCTAAAGTCAAATGCACATGATGCAAAAAAACGTGCCTACTAGGGATCCGGTATGTGGCTTTGTTATACTAGGTTTAAAACCTGGTTTTATTGTTCTAGACCTGGCTTACCCGAGCGGACAACTCGAGCCGGGAGGGGGGGCAGTGTACCGGGAATACAGAAGCTTCGCCGACTTTGCAACTTGTCCAAACCTCGTTCTAAATTTGGGAATTGAGTCTAACAGAAGAGAAGCTACATGAAGTGCACCCTTCTCAAATGATTTAGAAGACTTAGAGAGAGGAAGGATTCATAACAATTTATATACAGTTCACCAATATCAAAGCGGTAAAAAGTAATATTTAGCACATTAGGCTCGATCATGTAAATAAAATCAGATAATCATTAAAGACAAATATAACAATTCATCTAATCTCGAATTCTTGAACCCTGAACTAGAAGTTCTGGGTTCTTTTCCCTCCTCCTTTTTCATTACCCCCGGAAGGGGTAAGGGAGTTTTTTCCAACTTAAAGTGACAATCGAAACGGGATTATTTATTTATTAAAATCAGAGTCGCCACTTGGGATAATTTATGGTGTCCCAAGTCACCGGTTCAAATCCCGAATCGAGGAAAGATTGACTCTGTTTTACAGTCTGCGAACACAGAAATCCGGGTAAGGAATTCTGTTAACCCGGGAGAAGGTGTTAGGCATTCCCGGGTACCGTGGTTCTAGCACGGTTGCTCAACTGTCATTATTGGCCTATTTATCTGATTTTAAAACACTTTTAAACCTATGTGCATTTTAACTTTGAACCGTTTTTAATTATTTTTATGGAAGATTTCAACGTCATCTAAAACACATCTTTGGACCGCGCCACATGAAATTCACTCGCAGTCCGAGACACATTTTATTTAACGTCGTTAAGATTTGGATTTGGGTCACATGAAATGCACACCCGATTTTAGGAAGGTAATTTTAAATTACGCGCCTAAAGCAACTACGCATTTTCAACTTTGCGAGGGCCATAGAAAATTCGCTAAATGGCACGCCTCGAATTCTAAGGATTAAGAATATTAATTAAATGAGGGCCATGCATTTTGAGATTTTATTTGGCACGGTACACCTCAATTCCAATTTTCAAAGGAAATTCAAACTAAATTTCGGAAGGCGATAAGCTATTTGTGTTATCTAATATGGCTCACCTCCACTATTTGAATAAGTTTAATTATCCGAACATTAATGGAATTGGGATTCTATTACTGCCTAAACTAACTAAAAAACGACATTGCCTTTAGTAGGAAAGGCTGATTATTTAAAGATACTATTTGGGCTTGGCGTGAGGCCCAATAGCCTACAAGACGCAAGGCTGCCCCAAACTGCCAATTCATAGCAAAATCACGCTGGGCCCAAATGAGAGTCCAAACAGGAGGATGAACCAGCTCCTCCTTGAGACCCGAGATCGAGTCGTCACATGGCACAAAGCATAAGGCATTCGAATTTG